TATAAAACCAGCTTAAGTCTGGGCTAGTACAAGCAGCCACACATACACACGCATGCACGTCGTCTTATGAGAGAAATTTTTTTCTCGTATCACCCTATCACGGGAAGAAAACCAGTAATGGTCTTCTCACAACGGGAATCGAACTGGGAAAGAGAAACTGCTGTAACCACTGTACTACCCAATCTCCCTATTACGAGGGAAAACCAGTATTGATCTTCACACGAGAGGAATCGAACCCGGAAAAAGCCATCGCTCTAACCACTACACTACCCCACCGATGTTTGCATCATTAATGCAAAATATATGCATTAGCTGTGTTTCTGTAATTGCAGTGTGTAGAACTTTGAGCAGTCTGGTTCAGACAAGTTGACGCATTGTGAATGATTAATCCGACATTTGATCTGCTGTGTTTATTTATGAACACCTGACGAGTCGCAGAAACTATTGAATGAGACATTCAACACGGAAATAGCATAATGCTTGCAATAAATCGTTCAACATGTTTGCCAAGATTTTCAGTTTATGGGCATGGGTCAGTTCTAGGCCAGACAAAAGTACCGTTACGATTTTAATTTTTATATTTTGTTCTGTTGCTTAACGCCACACTCATGTCAAGTAAGCCGTGAAGATCCGGGTTAGAATTGATCTTCAGTCACCCATGCTTGACGTAAGAGGCCACTAACGGGATCGGGTGGTCAGGCTCGCTGACTTTGTTGACACACGTCATCGTTTCCAAATAGATCGATGCTCATGTTGTTGATCACTGGATTGTCTGGTCCAGAGTCGTTTATGTACAGACCGCCGCCATATAGCTGGAATACTGACGAGTGCGGCGTAAAACTAAGTTGGTTTTTACGCCGCTTTTAGCAAAATCACTGCGGGGGACACTAGAAATGGGCTTCACACATTGTACGCATGTGGGCAATCGAACCCGGGCCTTCGGCGTGACGAGCGAACGCTTTAACCACTGGGCTACCCCGCCGCCCCTCATTCAGTATTTGGGGCGTTCGGGTGGCCTAGTGGTTAAAGCGTTCGCTCGTCACGCCCAGGGCCTAGGTTCGATTCCTCACATGGGTACAATGTGTGAAGCCCATTTCTGGTGTCCCCGGCGTGATATTGCTGGAATATTGCTAAAAGCGGCGTGGAACCCAACTCACTCACTCACTCAATCATTCAGTATTTGGATAATTTACTACCGGGTACCCAGATTCTTCGACCTGTCTGGACAACATTATTAGGATAATCAGCTCCCGGTTACGTAGATACTCTATCTTTACAACATACAACGTTAATATAATAGCCAATATTCTATATAATTTGCAGAAATTATGATATTTTGGGCATTTACGTTACCTGAAAATAACATCCCAAGGCGTTTCGGTCGATTGCCTTAAACAGACAAGACCCACGTCACGTCCTCTATCCCTGCCAGTTTATTAACAGAGAAACACCTTCCCTGTATCTGAAAATTATGCATTAATTATCTGGGACGATAACAGCCTTACCACACAAGAACAATAACGGCCAACGCGCCCTCGGTATAAACTACTTATTCAACTTCAAGGAAATACACCTATTTACACCGCAACGACGTGTTAATATACTTGTCTCCTACAGAATTGTAATAATTCTTGGCAGTATATGAATCAAAAAGTTTTAATCTCCCGTGTCACTGAAATTAAACTGAATTAAAGACTTATTTCAGAAAATGACGTTGAATAACATACAGAATGGTAGACTTTTACTTGCATGACAGCCATCAGTGAGTGAGTGATTATGGTTTTACGCGGTTTTTAGCTATGTTCCAGCAATATCACGGCCGGGGACACCAAAAATGGGCTTCACACGTTGTACCCATGTGAGGAATCGAACCTTGGCCTTCGGCGTGACGAGCGAACGCTTCAACCACTAGGCTACCCCACCGCCCCAACAGCCATCAGAATCGAGTGCAAAAGTGGTTCACGAGCTGTAACATTAATTTTAAATGACGTCGAATAACCCAATGTTCATTTACTTCGAGACCGCCTCCGTGGTGTAGTGGTTAGAGCGTCCGCCCGGAGAGTGGAAGGTCGCGGGTTCGATCCCCGACCGCGTCATACCAAAAGACGTTAAAATATGATACTTGTTGGTCCCTGCCTGGCGCTTGGCATTAATGGGTACAACAAGGACTGGTCGGCTCGGAGTCAGTGAATGTGTCTGAGTGGGGTATTCATGTTTCACTGCGGCATGATATCTCAGTGAGCTGGCACTATAAAACCAGCTTCAGTCTGGGCTAGTACAAGCAGCCGCACATACACATACACACGCATGCACGTCGTCATATGAGCGAAATATTCTCAAGCACGACGTTAAACCCAATTTCACCTCACCTCATTTACTTGGAAAAGAACGGGTTAAATTTCGCAGGAGTAATTAACATTTTGCAAACAAGTTTGTAATATGTTGTGTTTGAATATTGATCCTGCTATCTGATAGCGCCTGTGTACCAGATTGAGATGAAAGGATAGGCTGGATGAGCTACTCCACTGACAACAAAACTCCGTGAATCACGAACTCGAATATCAAAGGTAAGATGACTCAAAACTCGACAGTGTTCCGTTGATCACAAAGTCCAACATTTTATACCGACTTTTATAACTTTTCTTTATTACTGTGATTACGAACATCACAACACAATCACTTCTTACACCGATTCTATTTGTGAGTGTGTTCTCTTTGTGTCATGTTAATAGACACAACCTAGCTTGTGGTGTCGGGTTTTTTCTCATGTAACCTGTATAATATGTCATTGGAGTAACAGACACAACCGCGGTTATCTAACTAGGACTGATTGTAGCACGATTGTATAAAGGCCCTAGGCCCATGTACAAAACTCAACAAAATAATAATGATAGTGACAAAAACGTTAGGTACACCTTTCATACACTTCTTAAAATTAAAGCTTCTTTTACATATTTTGCTTAGTTAATTAGGAATTACATCGCATAGGCATCATTTAAAGAACAAGGAAACTCGATGCTCCGAATATTTTTAATCCGGAAGCCACGAATTCTGAACTCTTTTTAAATTAAAGAGACAAAAAAATCAATTCCATTATCACGAGAAACCTCTGCTAAACTGACTATATCATGAGCATGTGTTTGTGAATAGCTATATACAGTGAAGATACCGGGTGTTTGCGAAATGGTGTGCGTATCCTGTTCCATCTGTAGCTCCAAACACATGCCAAGGCAGGTCAAATATTTACCCGACAAGTGAGTGAGTGAGTTTAGTTTTACGCCGCAATCAGCAATATTCCAGCTATATGGCGGCGGTCTGTAAATAATCGAGTCTGGACCAGACAATCCAGTGATCAACAGCGTGAGCATCGATCTACACCATTGGGAACCGATGACATGTGTCAACCAAGTCAGCGAGCCTGACCACCCGATGCCGTTAGTCGCCACTTACGACAAGCATGGGTTACTGAAGATCAATTCTAACCCGGATCACCCGACAAAACACGGGAACATACAGCAGATGTCAAAATAGGGAATGCCATCTGGCATCATCCATCTGAGGACGGGAATTTTTGAAGAAGTCAACTTCTTTATTATGAAGTGAATGATTACCCTGATGAAGGAGTAAGGATATACTCCAAAACGTTGTGTTCCTCCTAATACAGAAGCTGACATCCATAAAAACTCCCTTCCTTATCTGTATCACTTCTAAATGCATCCATCCATCAAAGATCATCCATCTGTTAGACTGACTGACTGAGTTTGGTTTTACGCCGCTTTTAGCAATATTCCAGCAACTTCACGGCGGGGGACACCAGAAATGGGCTTCACACATTGTACCCATGTGGGGATTCGAACCCGGGCCTTCGGCGTGACGAGCCAACGCTTTAACCATTAGGCTACCCCACCGCCCCCCATCTGTTAAAAACATATACATGAGGAAATAAAAAGACAGGAGTTCGTTTTTCAGAAGCCATTTATCGTTTAGTAAAACATATGGACGTCTCTTTATCCACATATTTACATTTGTGTCGAGCATCCATATCTGTATGTGCGGTTTCCGATTTAATTTCTGATGCAACATGCATACTGTAATATATCCTGGGTTTTCATTTAATATATCTCATCCTTTCTATCACCACCAAACGCTTTAGCCATGTTCAGCATTTATATATTCGATAAATGTTTTATAATCCATGCATATATTTTCCATATATTTGTGTGTAAATTGTACCAAGACTGGCGTATGTTAATTGATACCGTGTTAACTGTTGGTGCATCACGACCCGTGAAGATCCGGGATAGAATACGTCTTCAGCAACCCATATATGCTTGCTACAAAAGGCGACTATGCTTGTCGTAAGAGGCGACTAACGGGATCGGGTGGTCAGGCTCGCTGACTTGGTTGACACATGGCATCGGTTCCCAATTGCGCAGATCGATGCTGATGATGTTGATCACTGGATTGTCTGGTCCAGACTCGACTATTTACAGACCGCCGCCATATAGCTGGAATATTGCTGAGTGCGGCGTAAAACTAAACTCACTCACTCACTGTTGGTGCATCACAACATCTCTTTCCTAATTGCATGCAAAATAATTGCGTTAACATCTTATCACTGCACTAACCCAGCAATGTCTGAATTCCGGAAACTTTACTTGTATCAGAATTCCTCTCTTGCAAACAATTTTCAGTATCTAAGACGACAGTATAATTTATCACGTACCGTACCTGCAAGGCAAACACACACACAACCGTCGATAGCAGTACACCCCGAGAGACAAATTTCATCACAGTCAAAATTACACTTTAACCCACCTCCGAGAAGCTACAACACCCAGTGAATGAAGGCCCATGCACCGGGCTCCCACAGCGCGGCTTTCGTGTCGAGACTCATGAATGGGCACCCCCATACTATACGCCTAGAATTACTCGCATATTGTTCCTCCGACGGCGTTGAGCGTCGCGCGTAGGGCGAACGAAGACAGTCTTAACATAAACCCAGTCATGTTTACTTCACGAAAGTATTCATGCCGACAAATCACCTGTTGGCCGCCAAGCAGGTGAAATGCTCACCACGGCGAGCGGCTTGTGGATAGTGGAGGTGCGTGCATTATGATTGAAAACCCCGCTGACCAATCATACTGACTTGTCCTGACCAGCGCGTGGTATGTTAAGTACCCTCGACCAATGAAAAGGCGTTCAGCTTTCTGCTTGAGATTAATTCGTTTTAGGTACCGTGACTACAATGACCGAACGATAGAGTTGACGAGTATTTCTACAGTCATCGGGTTCGGAAATAACCTGTGTGTAGTTTGTTTGTAGGCCTTGAGACAAGGAACCTCAGACGGAGCCGCTGTTTCAGCGGGAACAAGACATTGCAAGACCCGCTTGTGTTATAGTCAAGATTACAGGCGGTATTGGGAGGAATATTTACACTAGGAGAAAACAAATCCTGGAAAAATCGCCTAATTGATTCCGTTTTTCTGGGAGTGAGTGCACGCGGGGAAAATGCTGTCGTATCATGTGAGCTGAACGGCCGGTTTAGTTGAGAAAAGAAAACGAAATAATATCTTCATTTCACTGAAAGTTCTTCCTCTCACAAGCCCTTAAACATTTCATCCAAAAATGTGTTTCGAAAGGTTGAGAAAGAGAACGTTTCTTCATATATGTCTACAAGTGGCGCTTCACTTTCATCTAGTGTCGTCTGTGTTCAATAAGGACAAGTACACGCTTGGAGCAGACGACAATCACGACTTTCGACTGAAGCGTTGGGCAGATGCTGCCTATCATTACATTCATAATCTAAACTGTGCTGTGGTGTTCTTCACGACTGCAAGAGAATGTCGACAGTTAGTGGCTGTACCCAAATCCGCTATGAACGTGTATATGGCTGCCCCAACACCGTACGGCAAATACCGTGCTAACTTGCCAGACGAAAGTTTGACAAGGTCCTCCTCCCACGAAGCCGTGCTAGTTGTCGACCCATACCCAGCTGCAAACTTTGGACACCTTGTGGTGGCTTTCTATGTGGATGGGGGGATTTCTAGAAACTTTTGTGAAAAATCCGGTGGAACGTATCTCCATGGTAGGTATAAAGTTTTCTGTTTCTTTTTGAATACTCAAACATGTTGCCTGACTATAAGAATGTTTAAAGGGATTATATTTTGTAGCATGTGAGAGTTAGAAGTTATTGACAAAACTACTGGACTATTAGACTGAGACAAGTAGAAATCTTGAAGGGCAGTTGTTTTCTGCCAAATTATTGAATATTCTCAAAAAGTTTGGCTAAAGTTCCACAACCCCTCCCCCCCCCTCTCTCTCTCTCTCCACACATATGCACACAATCCTATTTCACCTCTCCCTCTCTCACCTCTCTCTCTCTCTCTCTCTCTCTCTCTCTCTCTCTCTCTCTCTCTCTCTCTCTCTCTCTCTCTCTCTCTCTCTCTCTCCTCTTCCTCCCCCATCTCTCTCTCTCACCTTCACGCTTAAAGAAATCCCCCCCCAACCATACACGTTTTTTTTATAATCCAAACAAGTCCCCGAGTTCACGAACTAGCTCCCAAACACATCCCCAACGCCGTACAATTATTATTCCTATTATTCAAGGAATGTATAAATTGTCTATGTTTCCCCGCTCATAATTAATACCAGGAATTCGCATTTAGATTTACGCCAACCCCACGAGCTGTGTGTTTATGATTAAACACACAGCTAAACAAGATGTTATCACCGCTACAAGAGTACGGCGTGTGTGATTTGCGAGACGCTCGTTAAAGATGAAACACTGTGGAGCATTGTCATAAACATTAACACCACGTAAATCTACTCTAAACAATTGCTTCGTTATTCTTAATCAGCCTGCTTACGCTTGCAAGTGTGTTAGTGAAGTATGCACGTTTCAGTGTTAAAGGCGGTATGCGAGACTGACTAACGACTTGCGGGCACCACCACGTGGGTAGCAGGATTACATGGATGCGTTGCGCTTTTCCGCGTGCTGAAACTTCGTTCATCCATTCAATGAGATGAAGACAAATTAGGTTGTAAAAATGGTTGTAAATCTTTTGTATTGGTTCTGAGTCAATGATTATTTGGATTTATTATATAAATGGATTATCATGCTTTAAAGTATGGAGTGAGTGAGTATAGTTTTACGCCGCTTTCACTAATATTTCAGCAATATCATGGCGAGGAACACCAGAAATGAGCTTCACACATTATACCCATGTGGGGAATCGAACCCGGGTCTTCGGTGTGACGAGCGAACCCCCCACTGCCCCTAGGCTACCCCACCGCCCCTTAAAGTATGGATATCAATATAAATGATATATATGAGATATCACTATAGTTCAGACTTGATGAGTTACTCGCAAAACAGAGATCGCAGCAAACTCTTGTGACTCTTAGTGGCCGCTGTGCTTAGTTGCCTCCCTTTGGCGTGACAGGACGTAGTTTCGAATCCCTGACACGCACTGGACACGATCCCTGATCTTCCTGGGGGCGATGGGTGGTCTAGTGATTAAAGCGTTGGCTCGTCACGCCGAAGACCTGGTTCGATTCCCCACATGGGTAAAATGTGTGAAGCCCAATTCTGGTGTCCCCCGCCGTGATATTGCTGCAATATAACTAAAAGCGGCGTAAAATCAAACTCACTCACTTACTCACCTGACTTACCTGCACCTTTCACATTTCTAAAATTGGAATTAAACCCAACTTATGCAAGCACACTCACGAACGCTTTCAAAGCAACACTGCGCCTTTAAGAGCCGTTTTGTCGACCATAATAATTGTATTCTGCAGCCCATGCCGTGGTTTACGGGTAAGTGTTTTCAACACGATATAAATCCATTTATTTAATGTTACGTTATATTCATGTTTGCTCGCGGTAGATGTAAACAAAACAGGTCAAATGTAAGGTCGTCTTAGTACTAGTGATCGCGGAATGCATTGCGGTAACACACCATTGTTGCTGAGTTATGCTCGTCCGGGGCTGGTGATGCTTAAGAAGAAATTCAGATCGAGCATTTTGCGTTGGTAGTAATGCAGTATCGAAGTCAGTCAAGAGCACTTCAAGATTTTTAAAAGGTCATGGTTAGGGTTTTAGTGAGTGAGTGTGTTTTTACGCCGCTTTTAGCAATATTACGACGTGGGACACCATAAATGGGCTTCCCGCTTTGTACCCATATGGGGAATTGAACCCGGGTCTTCAGCATGACGAACGAACGCTTTAACCACTAGGCTACCCCACCGCCCCGGTTAGGTTTTTTAAAGGTGAATATATCACTGGAACAGTTATTTATCGTGTTCGGTATTGTTTCGTCGCATGTTCAGTGACTGTGGTTTTGCGCCGCTTTAGAGACCCAAAATGTGTGTCGTACATAATATATGCGGGAATCGAACTCGTGTTTTCGTCGTGACGAACGAAAGCTTTAACCGCTAGGCTACTACACCAGTTATAAGTCAAGCGGTTGCACAATATAGGGGAATACGTGTCTTAAAATGTTGTTAATGTTGTGTCTGTATAAAACAACATTATATCTATGGTGGAAATAGAGTCTGGATCACCGAGTTCTGGTCAAAACATACAAATGTACCAAGATGTTCATGTTTCGCCGAGCTCTGTTGAACTGTACGATAGTCTGTCAGTGTGTGGTATACACACACGTGGTGTGCGTGCCTCTAAATATCTCTCTTTAAATCTCTGTGCCCCCTGTGTCTGTGTGTGTCTGTGTGTCAGTGTTTGTGTCTGTTGGTTCGCTTGTACCAAGTTGCCTGTTCAACAGTGTTACTCCACTGAGATACCATGCCACAATTTAACACAGACACAACTCAGTGAGTGAGTTTGGTTTTACGCCGCTTTTAGCAATATTCCAGCAATATCACGACAGGGGACACCAGAAATGGGCTTCACACATTGTACCCATGTGGGGAATCGAACCCGGGTCTTCTGCGTGCCGAGCAAACGCTTTAACCACTAGGCTATCCCACCGGCCCAGATACAACTCAGATACAATAACACTAACTACGAGCCGAATGCGGGTAAAAAATAGGGTGGTGAAAGAGATCTTGTGTGCGTGCATATGTGTGTGTGTGTGCGTGCGTGCGTGCGCGGGCGCGTACGTGTGCGTGTGTTTGTGTGTGTAGTGAGCTGGGTGCAGAGTGAGTTGGCGAAAGGGATCGTGTCTGTCCGTCTGTCTGTCTGTCTGACTGACTGACTGACTTTCCGTTTCAACATAGCGGGGCAAGGTGGGTTGGTGGAAGGGATCTGTTTAAGGTGCAGCCACACCACATCGAGTTTAGAGATGACAAGACTTTATAGATGATCAACTTCTTTATTTTCACAATAGCAACGTTTCGGTATAGCTTCTTATACCGTCGTGACATCGCAAAAGTTTAAACAAAATTTAAGAGTTAAAAACAAATGTTATAACAAGGCATGTCATGAAATACGTGACATTTTTCATTATCACGAATGAATTGATGAATTAATGAATGAATATAATTTCGGCTCATTTGCGAGAATTCATTTTGTTAAAGTTTCGAAACCCATCTTTTGCTGAGTCATCATTTCCTTGTTCTAACGGGATGGCATTAATGCATTAATGGTGGACCACTTTGTTCAGCAATGCGTGTGGAACACATGGCCTGTTGGCCCCATATCCATTTATACTACAGCATGTTTGTTGTTTAACGCCACACTCAGCAATAGTGGAGTTATATGACGGGGCTGTAAATGATCGACTCTGGACCAGATAATACAGTGATCGATATTGGGAACAACGATCTACGCCGCCGGGTGCCACAATCAACCACGTCACCAAGCGCGACCACCCGTTCCAGCATACGACCAGATGAAGCGGCTGGGGACATATTCTTATTCAAGTCCCCAGGGGGATAACTAACAATAATATTGAATAGATCGACAAAACAGACATTGCTCGTAAAGATCGATTTTCCATTTGATAATATGCATTTACATATTGAATGTATACGCACTGTAATAAAGAACGCAGTTCTTTTAAAAAAAAGCATCATTCGCAGTTCTAAAATAGAAATCAGGTTCAGAATTGTTCATCGGCATCCCATGCTTGTAGTAAGGGGCGACTAACGGGATCGGGTGGTCAGGCTCGCTGACTTGGTTGACACAAGTCATCATATGCTAAATTCATGGATTCATAGATCACTGGATTGTCCAGACTCGATTATTTACAGACCGCTGCTATATAGCTAGAATATTGCAGAGTGAGGTGTTAAAAAACAAACACACAAAAACAGGAAAAAAACTTTACTCAGCATCTTTGACAAAAATGTGACCGGCTTCTGTTAACGATGTCAAAGATTCAATATAAGCTTATTGCTGTGAATTATATTTGAAATGAACTACACATCAAAGTTCAAACAGATGTCCCCGACTTGATATGTTACTCTTTACGTCAACACAGAATACATGTCTCGATCGCAAGATAACCCAGCTTTAATTAAAGTTATGTAATCCAATAATGTACTGGATAGCCCGCAGATTGTATCTCAAAAACAAACTGACATTTTTAGCGGAGCGAAATTGACAACGCGATGACTGCTATAGACAACGTTTGTAATGTAATGAATTGCATCGCTCTTAACGGCAACACCTGTTTTACATCTGTGTGTCCGGGGGCTACCGGTCTGATATACATGGAGATTTACCGAGGTAGATAATATCTTCCACTTTATCATTCAACCGCACAAGACGCGGTTTGAAACTTACGTCAAGGGGCCATCTCAAAGGTTTTAATTGAAGGTTTTGACGCGAAAACGTGTCAGGTAAATAATTTTGTTATGTATTAGGGGCTGTAGGTGAGTGAGTGAGTCTAGTTTTAGCAATATTCCAGCAATATCACGGTGGGGGACACCCGAAATGGTTTCACACATTGTACCGATGTGGGGAATCGAATCCGGGTCTTCGGCGTGACGAGCGAACGCTTTAACCACTAGGCTACCCCACCGCCCTTCGAGGGGTTTTAGGGGCAGAAGGGTATCCTAATCGTTAAAGCAACCACTGAAGACCCGGGTTCGGTTCTCTACTTGGATACAGTGTGATAAGTCCGT